AACTCAGCTGAGGGTCTTGTTCAGCTCCAGCCAGCAGAGGTGGGAACCTGGGATCAGAGGGAGATCTTCTGAAGATGAAATCTTCACAGGAGGCAGCACAGACGTTTGTGGGCAAGTATCCCCCTCAGAGGCAAGGATTCAAACCAGAGCCCTAGAGGTGGCAGGACAAGAAATGTGTCCGTTTAATCCCGTTTGGCTAACCAAATGAGTCTGCCAGCTTCCTGCAACGGCTGCTGCTTGAGCCACCCTCCACTGACTTCAGTTCGTACAGCTTCTCTCACCTGTCAGGTGAGACAAGCTGTCTCATATACCCTGACAGCTGTATGGTTTTCTGCCATACCAGCTCCTGAGGAGCTCATTTTTGCTCCTCAAAGCAAGGACACAGAAAAGGAGTGTGTATGAGAAGGTTGGAGTACAAGGATCAGACAGAGGAAAGCTCTTGTAGCTCTGAATCATGCCAGACCCCATTTGGGGGATACTGGGTGGGCACTTATCAAACCCCAAACTACCAGCTGGAGTTAAAGAGATCATAATCCTTCCTGAAGCACTGGGACATCTTGCAATAGCTCTAGCATCTAGGTCGTTGGCTTTCTGGAGGTGGAAGGGGTTTATTAGATCTTAGGAGAAACATTAGTCTCTCCCTTCAGCAGACTCAACTTTTATGATCCAGTGCCTTGTCTCACTGGGTTTTCCTGCCTCCATGGCTTCCTGGTGGTCAGCAGGGAGGCAGAGGAAATCCGTGAGGCACAGCCTGATTAAAATCTGGTGTGTGCCCTCCTCAGTTCTTCCCTAACGGTGAAGCCATCTGCACCGGCTCCGATGATGCCACCTGCCGTCTGTTTGACCTCCGGGCGGACCAGGAGCTCATCGTGTACTCTCATGAGAGCATCATCTGCGGAATCACATCAGTCGCCTTCTCCCGCAGCGGGCGCCTCTTGCTTGCTGGATATGATGACTTCAACTGCAACATCTGGGACTCCCTGAAAGCAGAGCGTGTGGGTGAGTGGCCCCTGGAGGTCCCTCTTGCATTGCCTGCAAGGTCTTCTGTCCCTACCAAGGCAAGGAAAACGCCTTTATTTTTTCTAAAAGGGACACATCCTATACTGACTGAAACCCAACAAAGCTTCCTTGCAGTTAAGGAGCACACCATAACTAGTACAACTCTCTTTTGCGCAGAAAAACTATTGGTTTTAATGTTAAGGAAGTGAAGCCTTTAAACAACGTTGTTTCAAGAGGGAAAAAGAGCATTAAAATTCCTCTTAGCTAAAACTGCTCAGAAGCACCAGTAGTATCTCCTACTTTCTCCTAGCCTCTGCCCTTTGCCAGTTCCAGCTACTCACAGTGCCACTTGGTGGCCAGGCACCAAGCTGAGTGTGGACCTGGGCTTCCATCAGACATCTTTGGATACTCTGTGATGCTCATACACAGAACACACCCAAATGCCATTTTTCTTTCAGATGTGGCCCCAAGCCTCTGAAAACTTATAATGCAGCCCACTGTCAGCATTGCTATTTCTCAGTCTTATGAAGGATGCCATCCTACCATCGCTCCAGGGAGAGAGCAGTTGTACAAGGATTCAGCTAGCCAGACCTTCCCAAGAACATTGTTCTTTGGCCAGTCCCATGGGTGGCAGTTGTCTGCCATGCACAAACGTTCTTCTGCATGTTTATTCTTATTAGACACACACTGACTGTAACACATTGTGCTGGAACAGACAGGGCAATACACAGGGGTGTAGGTACGCAGCCTACGACGCGTGTCCTCAGCTGGTCTACCCCTTCGTCTCTCCCGGGCCCTGCTTCTTTACCTGACCTCTCTGCTTTCTCCCATAGGAATCCTTTCTGGCCATGACAACAGAGTGAGCTGTCTGGGGGTGACAGCAGATGGCATGGCTGTGGCCACTGGCTCCTGGGACAGCTTCCTCAAGATTTGGAACTGAGGACAGCAGTAGAGAGCAGCAGCAGAACGGCCCACAGCCCAAGCCCACACAACCAGCATTGCCAGCTGAACACAACAGAAACGCCTACCTACCACTCCCACTTGTCTCTAGACACAGGTCACTTGTAGGGGTCTCCCAGAGTGAAAGGGAAAGGAGAGGGCAGGGAGGGGGAGCAGGGGAGCTGGGGAGCAGGAGCACACACACTGGCCCTTCTCTCCACCTCTAAACAGGCCCAGCAGTTTCCAGCCTCGTGCAGGCTTAAAGACCTGCAAAACACTGTTAATTACATCTCAGGACTCAACAGTACAGATCAGACACCCTGCATCTTCCTTCAAAGACCTCTTCCCACACTGACAGCCATCCTCCAGAGGACCCCTCACCCAACACCTCTATCCCAGGCTAAGCTCTGTCCCTGATTTAACTCTGCCAGCTTCTCCATGCAGCTGTCCTACAGCCCTGCAGACAGCTTCAGAGATGTACTGGGTTTGAGATTCCTATCATGCAACCTCAGACAAAAAGCTAGTGTAAACTGGGCTCATTTTCCTTTGGGGAAGACTTAGCTCAAGTCTTATTTATGCAAAAATGGGGGAAAGATGGCCCTCAGACCTGCCAGAACACCAGGGAATATTATATTTATTCTTATTTATTGTCTGCTTCTTGCTACTCCTTCTCTTTTTGCCTCACTCCTGCACTGTGTGGTGACCCTGTCTAACCAGTAGCCATCAGCCCTTGTTTTCAAGTCTGTTATAGATCTTCATAGCCCAAGCAAATAAAGTTCACATAAGCACTGCAGGCTCTGTTCTTTCCAGCATTGCAATGAGCTACTTCAAACATGACTCTCCCCCTATGAATACTGCCCACTGACCCCACCCAGCAACCATTTCAGCTGTAGGGCCTTGCTCTGCTGCAGTCACAGGAGAGGGTGTTCCTCACATGTTTTAGTTGAGAAGAAGCTGTTAGTCCTGAAGGTTACTGCTCCAGAGTTGGGATAGGGAGCTGAAAATGCATCCTTGCAAACCTTGAAGATTTGAACTCAATTACAGGACACAGCTGTTACATTCAGCCCCTATTCCAGTTGTTGGCTCATAGCTCTGCTAGGGAGACTTGAAGGTCAAGAAGGTGTAGTGACTTATCAACAGGTCAAGATATTAATGCACAATACTATCTCATCCTATTTTGGCTCTCACTCATGTAAAACCCCGGCACCAGGCTACAGTCCTTTGTATACATGAGTTTGAGGCCTGTGTAGCTGCAGCAGAACTCCAGCACCAGACACATCAGTCTCCTGCACAGCACTGCAACCTCCCAGCTCAGTCCATAGCACATGGGTTCAAGGTCAGACCCTTCTCAGCACAGGTCTGTGGTGAGATGTTACAGGCAGGGGCCAGAGCCAAGTTTTAGGGCTAGTGGAAGGCTGAACTATTTATTCCTAAATTCTTGTCACCAAAGAAAACATCGCACTGGGCAAGCAGGGGACTCCTACTGGACACAGATCCAGTCACCAAAGGTTTATTAGATATTTATTTCTCCAGATAAGAACTCTACAGTAAGTCAATACAGCTGATATACAATAGAAGAGCCAAAGTCTGTACTGTACATAAGACATGCAAAGCTAGGAGAGAGTGTGTGCTCTTTCCCCAACAGGGACAGGTGAAAAAAATGAACCCAAGTCTGGAGTTTGAGTCTATGGCAGGATTTCTCACCCCTAGAAGGCTCTCAAAACATAGAAGCAAATTACAGCAAGATCCTGGAAAAGGAAGTCTAGTTCTCCACAAAAGGACACTGTTGGTTCTCTTTGTTCAAGTCACTCCAAGCACAGTTCCCAGATTTGAGGGTCCTGCTCAGATCCACTGTCACTTCCTTCTTCTCACCAAGGTTCTCTCCCAATACATGTCTCTTACCCTTGAGAAATTTAAAAAAAAGCCAAACATACAGTGTAAAAGACAAGTTAACTGAGGGTTAGGTTAATTCTCAGTGGAACACATAGCCCATTTTCAGGCCATTCAGCTTTGGCTCTCTTGTGAGAACATCTGAGAGCAATGGACTTCTTTCTACAGCCTACAGAGGAAAGATGCACCAAAACAGGCAATACAACAGTAAGGCCAAAGATACAGACACTGAGCAAGACTCAGAGGCATCTAGGGAAAAGACTGACCCACAGAAAAATACTTATGAAGTCACCAGGCTCTACAGGCCTAGGAGGCCACAGTTCCAAAGTGGGGCCCTACAAAATACACAAATTGAAGGATTTGGGTTGGGTTTTTTTTCCCAGATCATTCTCCCTCCCACAGGATGACTCATTAAGCTTTACCTGGCGAGAGGCGGGAGCACTGGGGGAATTATCATCCTGTAGGATGCTGAGGGGAGAGCGGCCTGTTCCACCAGATGCTGCCATGATTTTCTTGTTGGTCTTGCGTCTTACGGGCTTGCTCCCTAGTGACAGAAGGAAACACATCAGTGTGTCACAACAAGGCTGGAGGGTCCTGGATTTTAAATGCCTCCTGGCTTTTGTGATCTAGCTTGCTTGCCTGCACAAAGACTGTTACCCAAGGACTTCCAAGTAAAGGGATCAGAGAAAGGTTGAGGTTGGAAGGGACCTCTGAAGGACATCTTGTCCAACCCCCCTGCTCCAGCAATGCCACCTAGAACCAGCTGCCCAGGACCATGTCCAGGTGGTTTTTTTTAATATCTCCAAAAAAGGAGACTCCATAACCTCTCTGGGCAACCTGCTCTGGTGCTCGGTCACATTCACAATGAAAAAAGAAATTATTTCCTTATGTTCAGATGGAGACAAACACCACTGTCTTCCAGTTTGTGCCCATTGCCTCTGGTCCTGTCACTGGGCACCACTGAAAAGAACCTGGCTTTTCCTTCCTTACACCCTTCCTTCAGGTATTTATACATATTAATAAGATCACCCCGAGCCTTCTCTTCTCCATGCTGAACAGACCCAGCTCTCAGCCTCTCCTCATAGGAGGAATGCTCAGCAAGTTTTCTGAAGCGCAGTCTAGATTAAAGATGCTCAGCATTCAGCACGTCAATGTCTTTCCCACCATCATGCCACAGCTCTTCCCAAGGAGAAACTCCAAAGTCCCACTGAAGAGGCTTCCATGACTACAAGACTGTCTCAGAGAGGGGAAGAGTTGGCATTTACCTCTTCAAAAGGTACATTTGCCTCTTGAATTTGACTACTAATTGAAACCATAATTTTTCAACTTCTGACAGAATCATTTGGATAAAAAAAAGAGATCCCAAAGGGGCTTCCTGGCTGCAGAGCTGTGGTAGTTTCACTCCTTTGGCTGCAGTCAAACACTCTTCCCCAACTTCCAGGGAACAGGGGAGAGAAACAGAAGGGTAAAAGTGAGAAAATGCATGGGTTGAGATAAAAACTATTTACTAATTGAAATAAAATAATAACAGTAATAACAGAATATACAAATGAGTGATGCACAGTGCAGTTGCTCACCACCCACCGACTGATGCCCAGCTTGTCCCCAACCAGCAATCCCAGAGCAGAGACAGTCCCAAAACCAGTGATCCCAGAAAGAGTGAGCCTGAGCAATCCCCGAAAGAATCCCCAGCTTCCAGGTCAATCCTCATTAATATACTGAGCATGACATGATATGGAATATCTCAGTGGCATATCCAAATACCAGTTCGTGTTTTGCTAATTAGCATGCTTCCCCCCTTCCGGGTGGCAAAACCCAAAGGCCTTTAACTTCCAGCAGCAACTGAAAACATCAGTATATTATCAACATTCTTCTCATAACAAATCCCACACTGAAACCACAGCACAGCGCTATTCTAGCTACCAAGAAGACAATTAACCCTGTCCTAGCAAAACCAGCACAGGAGCCCCACGGCCGAGCCCGAGGCAGACAGCTGAGCTGCGGGAACGGGCACGGTCTCCAAGCAGCACACCCGGGGGAGGGACAGGCACCCGGGGGTGCTGACCCGCTCACGCCTCGGGCCGTGCGGCCCCCGGCACCGGCACTTACCTGAGGAGAAGCCAGGCCCGGCGAGGCGGGCGGGCCGGGCCG